TGACGCGAAAAGTATCTTATATATTATATAAGGCCCAGTGAAACACAAGTAAACGGTTCTCTACTTCGGATTAGACTCTCGTCATCGTCACGCCGCCATCACCGTTCGCCGTCGCCAGTTCAACGCCCAGCTCCACCACTTCGCCGCTCAATTATTCTATCTATTCTCATTCTATTCCAATAAGTTATTCGCTGTTAATAGTTCTATAAAATTGCTCAAGTTGAAGAGTTCTTCTGTGGCACTCTGAGTAAAAACAGGGTACACACACCACACACAATTTTGACTACAGACTCGAAGATTTGCGGGAAATGAGGAAGGGAGGCAAAGAAAAACATTCACAACGCAAAAGCGGCTATAAGTATGCAAGATCAAAGGAAGCGCATATGCTCCGTCTCCTACCAAAAGTGTCCTCACCCGTAGTAGCAAACTATTACTACAAACATTTTTTTGTACCGATTGCTTTCAGAAAAATTATAAAAAGATGTGGTGTGCTTGGTCATTATTCAAACATTTTTAGAAAAACTCGATAGCCCATCAACCGAAGCTTCTTTCCTAGGGACCACGCCTTTTGTAACAATGCCTAAGTATGGCGCATACATCACGTAAATAAGTTACCTAAAATGTTTGAAAACCAGCTTAAAAAAGACATAATGAATAAAGTCACACGTGACGTCCTGCATGCGAGAGTGTGGGTGTTACATCATACCATTCCGTCGTCAACGTGTTAATGACCAAACCGAAAAAATAACGCTCAATGGCAAAAGATAAAACATAGTGTAAAAAGGCAACAAGCGTACAGCTGTGAAACGACTGAGACGCTCCCGAGTATGCCATCGGTCCGGCTTTGGAATAGTCTGAAATGGATGGTAGGCACTATTGATGATTCGACGTAAGCCAAGGACAGGAGTTATCCGCATACCTGAATGAATAAAAATAAATAATCTCACTTGCTACAACAGGCTTCTTTTGCGTATTTATCTGTTGGACTGGTGGATTGGTGTATCTGTTTGCCTACAAAGAAACTCGTCACTATCTAAGAAACAATCTGAAATAAACCGGGTCACATACGGAACGGTCTGGGCATCGACTAAGATGTAGGAAGCACACATCAGCAAGACAAAGCTCACTCGCCAAAACAGGCGGGCATGTACCAAAACAGGTGATACCGAAGTCAATTGTCTAATTCGCTTTCAGAACAGCTCAGAAGCCGGGAAAATGAGTGAGGGAACGCAGAGTCGCGACAGTTTCTGGAAATCATCTGAGGTGGGTGGTGCGTTAGCAAGTAGATAGTACTTTCTGAAATATTTATAACCGGATTATTTCATGACATAAAAAGCAAGAAAAAGATAATGGTGAGGCGGTAAGACACACTGATAAGGGAGCGAAGTGACTATTATGAAGAATAAAAATGACGGCCCGGTGACCAACGCGGCGATCAACGGTGGAGTGTCCTAATTTGACCACTCTACTCATTGCAGTTTGGCAAGAATGACGCGAAAAGTATCTTATATATTATATAAGGCCCAGTGAAACACAAGTAAAACGTTCTCTACTTCGGATTAGACTCTCGTCATCGTCACGCCGCCATCACCGTTCGCCGTCGCCAGTTCAACGCCCAGCTCCACCACTTCGCCGCTCAATTATTCTATCTATTCTCATTCTATTCCAATAATTTATTCGCTGTTAATAGTTCTATAAAATTGCTCAAGTTGAAGAGTTCTTCTGTGGCACTCTGAGTAAAAACAGGGTACACACACCACACATCTCATTACATAATTCCAATTTTGACTACAGACTCGAAGATTTGCGGGAAATGAGGAAGGGAGGCAAAGAAAAACATTCACAACGCAAAAGCGGCTATAAGTATGCAAGATCAAAGGAAGCGCATATGCTCCGTCTCCTACCAAAAGTGTCCTCACCCGTAGTAGCAAACTATTACTACAAACATTTTTTTGTACCGATTGCTTTCAGAAAAATTATAAAAGATGTGGCTGCTGGTCATTATTCAAACATTTTTCCAAAAACTCGATAGCCCATTAACCAAAGCTTCTTTCTAGGGACCACGCTTTTTGTAGCAATGTCTAACCATGGCGTATACATCACATAAATAAGTTCACAACAACCTAAAATGTTTGAAAACCAGCTTAAGAAAAGACTATGACATGACATAATGTCACACTGTCCTGCACTGCCGAGAGTGTGGTGTTACATCATACCATTCCGTCGTCAACGTGTTAACGACCAAACCGAAAAATTAACGCTCAATGGCAAAAGATAAAACATAGTGTAAAAAGGCAACAAGCGTACAGCTGTGAAACGACTGAGACGCTCCCGAGTATGCCATCGGTCCGGCTTTGGAATAGTCTGAAATGGATGGTAGGCACTGTTGATGATTCGACGTAAGCCAAGGACAGGAGTTATCCGCATACCTGAATGAATAAAAATAAATAACCTCACTTGCTACAACAGGCTTCTTTTGCGTATTTATCTGTTTGAGCTGGTGGATTGGTTATCTGTTTGCCTACAAAGAAACTCGTCACTATCCAAGAAACAACCTGAATAAACCGGGTCACATACGGAACGGTCTGGGCATCGACTAAGATGTAGGAAGCACACATCAGCAAGACAAAGCTCACTCGCCAAAACGGGCGGGCATGTACCAAAACAGGTGATACCGAAGTCAATTGCCTAATTCGCTTTCAGAACAGCTCAGAAGCAGCCGGGAAAAATGAGTGAGGTAACGCAGAGTCGCGACAGTTTCTGGAAATTCATCTGAGGTGGGTGGTGCGTTAGCAAGTAGATAGTACTTTCTGAAATATTTATAACCGGATATTTTCATGACATAAAATAGCAAAAAAAATTGGTGACGGTAAGCGCACTGAAAGGGAGCGAAGGTGCACCCATAGTGGAAGGAGTGCCACGCTCAATGTCTGTTCCAAGCAAACTATGAAATAAACATCGATGATGACAGTAGTACTAAGCACCTTGAGAAGTACGGGTCCTAGTGAATTATCACACCATGTAAAACTCATTTTCCATTGGAGTTTTGTTTTTGAGAGGTTAAGATGATGAAAAAGAAAAGGAAAAATTCATAAGCATGACAACAACATTATAATTTATCCAGATGTACAAGAGCTCTTACCAAAAGTATAAAGCATACCCAGGCAATACCACACCGGCACTGAATTTAGCACTCAGTGCGTTTGTGGTGGGGGGGGGAGGGGAGAAGACGTTCAGTCATTTGCGCCACACGTGCTTGAGATAAATCTAGGGATGGGAAGGCATCGGTAAGGGAGCTTGCGATGCCAATCTTCTTTTCCCTGGCGTCCTTCATTCTCTCCGCGAGTACAAGCAGAGGTCTACTTACCATCTGGCCATGTTTCGAAATCTCCACCCCCTCCCCCAGAAGAGAAACCGACATTCTCACTCGGCAGATTTTTGGCAAAAAGGAAATCAACATGAGTTAATGGCTTTTTTTCTCAATACCAATCCACTCACTTTACAGTCAACCAGATTGGTCCCTGTCAAACGCCGGACCTTCTTTCCCTGCGTAGCCTTTGCGTCCTCCGCTGTGGTCCCTTCCACCTGTGACGCCAACCCCTCGTGCAGTTGACGCGCATGCAAAGAAAGGCGTTTCATATAGTAGAGGGCATCGCCCTAATCATGAAATGACGGTGGAATGACGTATCAATACCTAACTACACCTAAAGTCTGTTGGTGACTTGTTTTCGCGCCTCCCCCCCACCATTCCCTTCTCTCTCAATTGCCCTAGCTACCACTACAGCACCATGTGGAATGACCGGAAGTGTACTCAGTGGGTGTTTATGTAGCCATAGGGGTATTATCATATTAATCCTATTGAAAAACAATGATAGGGCTCAAGCCTGCCTGTGAGCTACCCCATTCTGTCAACGGTTGTATATTCCACTAGCTGCCTTGTCACTCACTTCATTTTGTGGCGGACAGACATACATACAAACCGACACACCAAGTTAGAGGTTTATAAAATAGAAGGATTTTACATCTACACAATGATGCAGTATTTCTTCTAAAGGCTTCTTTAAGGACTATACTGAGGTAGGTGGGCGGCTCAATGTTCACCAGAAATTTGCAACGAGTCACTGTAGACCAGACATCACGCTTTCTCCATAGTTTTGAGGTCATTTATTGGTTAAACCTGCTCAAGTTAGAGTAAAGCCGCTGCCTTTCCTAATACATGGATTAATTTTTATGACTCCGACCCCCAAAATTTCCCAATATTGCACCGCATATGAAATGCATAAAAACTCTCACCTTAGTTTTCGAGTATTCGTGGGATTTGCTTCTTCTGTAAATGTTATCCTCGTTCCAATAAGTAGAAGCTAACTATGGGAAGGCGCAATGGTCCACGCACTCCAACTAGGTTGCTCCAATCGCAATGCCGGTTGGCAGGCGGCCAAATTGCATCTACCGTGTTCTTGAACACTTTTCCACGGAGGACCCTTTAATCCCAAGATGAGCATCACAGTGAATCGATACTCATTTGGACGTCCGCCAACGATAATAAAATCGTTTTTTTTTTGGTGGAATGTGCCCACACTGTTCGGGTGTTGTGCTGCATGTTCGTCGTGAATTTTCATCTTTGAAACAGTAGACAGTAATTCACCACGTCCAATGAGCCTTGGTCGACGTTTTGGCGTACTTTAAATAAGCCTTGATTGCTCCCCGATTAACCACTTATTCCTGTCTTTATCTTCCTGTACTTTGTTAGGGTGGCCTCTTTGCTGAATGCTTCCGTTTATATGGTTCGTGTCTTATAATTAACTGCGACAAATTAGGGACACGTGTTTGATAATGCATCGCAATTTCTCATTGTTTTCTTCGTTGTTTTTTCTAATAGCAAGTGCTTTGATTGACTCAGCCATCGTGAAAGTACCGGTGTATTTCTAAAGTCATGTTATGTTAGCTGAGTTGTTCGACAGTAGTTTTTAATGCGCATTCTCTCACATTTTCAGTCTGTGCTGTATTTTGCCATGATTCTGGTGCATCGTCAATAATCGAATGTTCACTCCGCAAGCTGCTCGCAGGCCGCCTGGCAGTATGCAGCCTGGTGCTCCTGTTCAAAGTCAAAGCGACATTCATGCGAAGGAAAAGTGAATATTGTAGATCATAATTATAACTTCACTTGAAAGTTCCTCATCTTCGGTAACGGTGCTTGAAAACCCTAGTTCACATCTCATGTCATGCGCTGGTCATTGGTGATTCCCATTTCAACTTGAAGTTTTTCTTCGTATTAGAGGGTGACATGATGTCATCCGTCAGCACGCACAAGCACTCAAGTGACCTGATAAGTTCGCTAGTGGAGATTCGGCCACATAAATATATTACATGAATTTAAATGGTATTCAAACTCAGTAATGCTACTCGCATTGGGGAAATTCGGGTTAGTTATACGAGCATTTCCCTGTCGTGTCTGACCAGTCTGTTTAATAGTGGGCGCGGAGGAAGCTCGTACGTGAAGAAGCTTGAAGGTGGAAGGGGTGATGTTTGTGAATCGTGTGCAGTTGTAGTGTACAAGCGATTAGAGTAGTTGATTGACCCCGGGTTACCTCACTATTTTTATTTATTGAGATCAGTGTCGCATGGATTTCCTTCCTCATTTTAGACTCGCTGCCTACGTGTACGAATACTTGGTCATCTCTGGAGCTACGAAAACTGCCGAAGTGTTCAAAGAAGAAGTTTTGAATGTGAGAGCATAACTTTTCCGCACTGATCATAAATAAAATCGCTCTTGCTTTATCTCGCAATCTTTTAGAACGTTCCCAACGGAGCCATCAAGCCCTAGTGAGATTGGTCCAGGATTCTTGCAAAACTGGTGGATGTGAGTGTATACAATATTTGGTTCATGCCGTACTTCATATACTCTGTTGTAGCAGCCTTTTTCCATCCAGTCTAATTTTTATACAGCAGTTTGACCCTTTTGTAATTCCAGATAAACTATCTGAATTCCTATCGACGCCGTCTAACCTATAATACTGTTTCTCCAGCTTTTGGGATCTTTATTGTGCAGCTCCTGAACGGAGAGATGGACCCGATGGTCAATCAACGCAGGAAGCTAAAGCCTTTCATGACTTCGTGCGTATCTCATCTTCAGGCTCACTGTAGACAGCAGGCTACAGATGTTTTGCAGACATAATTTTATCATTTTAGGGATTCGTTCCTGGTGGTTTTGGGCCGCGCCGGACCAGATGATGAACGGAATGCACGGTCCTGGGGTAGGTAATTTAAGTCATGTCAGCAATGCTTTGTTGCTTTTTAATTTCTTCTAACTCGTCATTCATCTACTCCTTAAGGATTCTTTTTTAGTTGGTCTCATGAAGCTTGTATGCGCTCATTTGTTTCACCCATTGTTTTAACTCATGCCAGCGCGCCGCGGATTTGAGATGGCGATAGGTCGCATCTCGAGGTAATAGACGCGCAATGCGACAATGGGCATGGTGAATGCAGTGAGAGTGCCAGACGGTCAGGGTGACACAGCGCACGCACTCAGCGAATAAATCAGACGTGATAGTCAGAGATGCAGAGCCCGGTCAGTTTTGTGGTGAACGTTTCGAATTCATCGTCGAAAACATGTGAAGCGACTAGGCGTGTAGAAATAGAAGTGACAGAGTGGGAACAGTGGTCGTGAGAGTAACACCTGCGTCTTTCAATTTGCTAGCACTTACTTCGAAGGAATTTGATGTCGGTGTCGAGTCGTTGTTCATTAGCTGTAGAGTGAATTGGATAAGCCCAATCTGGCCATAAAAAATAAATGAAAGGACCATTCCAAACGTTGCTTTTTCCTCTGATGTGCATTCACATTCATTTTATGTTAATCTTGAAATCTTAGACATTGGGCCGCTTGCTAATCCTGAGAAATGCGTAGTGATCATTTAGTACTAGAGTATCGTTAGGGACTCTATCCTTTCTAGACGATTTCTTGAGTTTTTTTTTTTTCTACCCATTCGTCAACTGTGATAGATGAATTCGATCGAGTAGCCTTGGCATAATCCTACGAACCGTGCAAAGAGCAGAACACTGGTGAGCAGTACTTGTTGCTATTGCGTCGACTTTTCGAAGACTGTTTTGACTCGGTCGTTCTTGCACTTAGTTTTTGACTAATCAAAACATCAATAGTGTCGAGATGCTGATCAACTGATAATCATAATTTCCTAATAGTAATTAGATTTGACAAAGGCTACTTAAATCTAAAAGGAATAGCTAATGTGCAGCTTTTACGAGAGCAGTGTTTTTCCGTAGCGTCGCTTTAGTAATCTGATTAGTTACCTCTTTGTAGACCGAAGTTAACCTTAAATTCGTTCGATTTTCAACTTGAGGGCGAGAAAGGGGTCGAACGACCTGCGCGTGTTTTTATCGCCACGTAATATAGGTCGCAATTTCAATACTGGCGAATAAGGTCGTATCGGCGAGGACAACGAGGAACTGCTAAGTGAACACGAAATTCGCGGGATGTGAATTTATTGTCGAACAAATGTTACTGGTTATCATTTCCTAACTTGTCATATCAAGAATTCCGGAAGATTTAATTACACAGTACTACGGGTGATTTACTGTGCTATCTTGCGCGACCTGTTTGGGTGACATCGAGTGGGGGTCAGTGAAAACAGTTTCTAGCAACCGTTCCTGAATTGCACATTGAACTTTTCTTCTATTCTTTGTCCATGCTTTGAAGTTAGCTTCTGCGTTTATAGTCTCCAAAGAACTTCGCTAGGTTCACACGGTGAATGTTTTCTGGGTGGAGTAAAAATCCACACCAGGGTATGTAAAAGATTGGAGTAATTTCTTTGATGAAGTCAGTAGTATAGGATTTGTGATATAAATTTTCTTTGCGCACCCTACACTGCATTTGCCGACGACATAAGAAATGTTGGGGTCCCTTCCGATACAATAGCGTAATGTTTAGCAGAACAGAAGTTGAGAATAGAGCTACACAGATAGCTTCAGGTGAGTGGGTTGGGAGGCAACTAACCCGTTGCAACTGTTTTTTTTTTCTTGAGATTTTCAACGAGATAGTCCACGTTGGGAGTGAACTCACTTTGAGGCAATGTTTTGCAGTTCATAAAGCGTGCACGTTCTCCTGGTGTCTACTTCAGAATCTTGTGAAGTAAACAGGCGTAGCGATACTATTTGCGATCTGTCTTTCATGGATGAGGTCTTCCGCACCGAAACCAATCAACGATTCGTGAGAACGAAGCAGTATGTAGTTCCATATCTTGCCTTCCTCGAATTCAATAATTCATTGAATTCCTGGACAATTCTTGTATTGTTTCCCAACACGAGTATGTCAGTTGTGATCACTGAACAACATACAAAGTTTCACGCACAAAGATTCAGTTTCCGAAGAGAAACAAACTACAAAAACTACACTCTATGGACAATCGAAGGTAAGTGGCGCGGAGCCAAAGGCGGGGCATGGAAAGAAGTCCGCCTTGGGCGGCTACGTATCAGGCGACGCAATGAAAGAATCGGGTTAAAGCGCGCGATTTTGGAGAGTAGAGACAAATCGATCGATAGAATAGGATGGAGTAGAAGTGTAAGATGTGAATGCAATAAAGCAGAAGGCCAGAAAGAGTTTCTAGTGAAGGCACTCCAAGAACCAAGTGGAAGCATCCCCGTCGCCAGCATTTGTGAAAGACGTCCGTGGGAACGCGTAGCAGCCCTTTCGGTTTTTCGAATTTTTTTTCAAAACAAATGCAATTTTTTGTTCTTTTCGTTCTTATCGTGAACGATGGTCCCAAGCCAGTGAATTATGGGTGCGATAGAATCACGATTTTTCCTGTGGATTGCTTCAAGGAAGAAACGTGCATCGCGGAGTCTGCTGATGTTCTGTGTTGATGTTCTGCTTGGTTTGTGGGTGGGGTAGTATTCAAGTTGTCCTGCGAGGTAGGGTCGGCTAGGTCTAACTGAAAGAGTTTCTGAAGATTTTTTTCTTCAGAATTTTCAGGGAGTTCTGGAATTCATTCGATTTTTTTTCAGTTTTCACCTTACTTCTTATCACTCACCATGCACTCGATTATATCCCCCTCCTATCTACATGAGCTTTCGTGAGTGGAAGAGAAGGACAATGTTGGAGATGTTGAAGCCAAGGGAACTACATCATTAAATCTGCCTTATCGCTAGACTTGGCCCTGATTCTTGTGCTTTTACTGGATGTGAAGTAGTGATTGTAACAGCGATCCGGTTATGTCGGGTAGGCATTCTTCGTCATTTCAGTATTACATTCATGTCACAATCCGTCTCTTTTGCGGTTTATGACCGTTTTGGCGCGTACTTTGGGAAGAATCTCTAATGGGGAATGCAAGAAATCCTTGTAATAAGAAATCTTGCGCAATCAGTGGGCTATTTGAAATGTAATCCGCTCGCATTTGTCTCTCATCTTTCATCATATTTTCGTGCGTTTTGTCGCCTTCGTATGCCTGGGGCGT